TATATAAGAGGTATAATTATCAAATCATCTAAATGTGTATGCTATTAAAAATAATATTAATAATTAAAAAATTCATACCTCTGTAGAATTCTTTGACTTTAGTTGAATTTGAAAAAGACTAGCAATTCCTTTTTTTAAATTAGAAATAGAAACAGTTTCAACAGATCCATATATAGATTTAATATGTCCAGAAATCCAATGTATATAAATAGGTTTATCCGACATTTGGTCCAATTTAGACATGTGAGACTGAAGTTTCATTGGTGTTGAATGTATTGTTGAAACATGAAGCTTGGGTTTATTAATCTAAAAATTTAAATAGTTTTTTAATAAAAAGTATTTTTAATATATATTATATTTGTTAGATATTTAAATTCAATATCATTTCATTTGTTATTCTATATATTTTTTCAAATACTAAAGCTTAAAATTCTTAAATAATTTTTATCATAGTTTTCTTTTCCACAGTTTTACTCCAATGATTTATATTGATATATGAGGATATCCAATTTGGTTAAAATGTTATTCATTTCTTATTTTGTATAAAATGACTTTAAAATTATAATTTGTCATTTCTTTTGCTAAATACAGGACAAGTGAGCGTCCCAACAAAATTTGCAGGGACAACAGAACATTTCTTAAAAAAGGGGGTAATCCTGTATATATGAGACGTCTGGCAATCCTATCGTCCATACTCTTCTGAAATCAGTCCATATAACTTAAATCTATTTTGCAAAATAAAGGTGCAATTTGCGGGTAATGCTTTAAATCAAGAGAAATTATATTTGCAATAGGCCATACAGTAGCAGATGCCAATTAAAGTAAGTTTGGTGATAGCATTGAAAATCTTCCAAAATTATGGATTTTGTCATATAGATGGCAGGAAATTATATTGAAGGAATGTAAATAACAGATATCCAGAATAAACTGTATATATTGAATAAATGCAATTTTCTCACTATTAAAATTCCAACCCTCATATACTGTATTTCATATAAAAGAAATATAATATTTTATTATTTTTAACTAACATTTAACTAGTAAATCTGAATAAATAAATTAATCCCAGTAATCAATTATTTTTCAGTATACCAATATAATGATTAAGTAAACGTCTCTTCAATACGAAAAAAATTTTTCGGATTGAAGAGACGTTTACTTAATCAACAGATAAAACAGCTACCATTAGAAAATTCAGGAAAAATATCAATATAAGTTTGTTCCATTAAAATAAGCTAAATTTGATATGGATAACTTAATTATTATGGTTACGTGCAATTTTACAAAAGTTTAAAATGAGAGTAATGTTTATATTTATATATTAATTTTATTGTAAATTCCTAGTTACAGTAATGTTGATATAAAGATGGAAGATTTCAAATTTTTTAATGTAATAATATTTTAATAAAAGATTAAATTTGATACAGTATTTTGTTTTCTAACTGAAAGATTATGAGATAAAAGTATAAATTACCTCTAATTTAAGTAGAAGTTCTTCAGGATTTTCATTGCTCTGCCACACATTTGATATTAATGCATTTGCTGTAACTTTATAACCAACACTTCTTCCTGTAGAAGTACTTTGATTTGTGTTATCATTGAGATTTATTTGAAATTCATATTGATAATGATATGTAACATCTTGTTCGTACGGGTAAAATATTTTTATATTAAAATTACCTTTTGATAAAAGNCTTAGAGAATTTTTAGATGGGTCTAAAAATATGTTCGATTTCCTGCAAAAACGAAAAAAAACTGTATCCGCGTCTTGCACGTCGCTTTCTCTTAACAATTCCATTGTTAAGAAAAAGCGACTTCCATTGTTGACACTTCCATTGTTACTTAACACTTCCATTGTTGATGGAAGTGTTAAACCTTAATCCCGTCTCTCTCCCCCGTGGGGAGGGATTTGAAAAATCCCTTCTTAGTGTGTGTTCTCGTGACGTATCCTAACTGAGAAATAAACATCTTCCAACACTAGAGGAGTTACAATTCAGCACTTCAAACAACCTTTACAGCTCCAGTGGTATATGTTTACACCTTAGCAAACGTTTTCAACCTCATCGAGGTCTTCATCAGGCTACTGTAATTAGGAATTCGAACACGTTTGGAACAGAACATATACAATTCAAAATTTACAAACAGATTTAAGAATACTCATGGGAACGTTACGCACGCGCTGAAACGACTGTGAAGCACATGTTGAAAATGTTTGCTAAGGTGTAAACACATACCACTGGAGCGGTAAAGGTTGTTTGAAGTGCTGAATTGTATCCTAACTGTATACCAAATTTCAACTTTGAACTCCTAACCATTTGGGCTCTGCTCTGATTATTATTATTATTATTATTATTATTATTATTATTATTATCAACCTGTCTCAATTATATATATAGATTATAAAAATAATGTAGAAAAATTCACATCGAAAATTATGTCAAACCCATTAATTAAAATCAAGTAAAAAAAGAAACAAAAATAATTTGTGAATCAAATGGACATGTTGCCTGTGCTTCTGAATAGCCATAGCAATTCTGCAAAATTTCTACCAAAAAAAAACTATCAAAAATCTGCAGGAAAATTTTTATTTTTGGGTATTCCTCCATTGAGTCAATCAAAATGACATGTACAGGTTTGAAAAAAATATAATATACTTTTACTGGTAACAAAAATCATCTTTACTTGATTTTGGTATTTATTTTGTTTTAATTATTTTATTTTAAAAACCATCTTTCCTTATAATTATTTTCATTAGTAAACATTTTAAAATTTTCCATTTTTTATAATTTAAATTAAATATGCATACAAAATAAGTTTTTCTAGAATGCATATAACTGTATGAATAAAAACAATTATCCAAAACAAATAATCATCATCTTAAAATTATTTTCTGAATGTTAATGGTATGCAGTTGTTAATTGTTTTAATAAAAGGTTATTTATTTAAATAATTGAATCTTATCAAACAACTGAAAGATAAGAAAATAATTGTAGAGTGTGATGAAACGCGCACCGGTAAAAGGTTTATAGATACCTGGTTGTGTTACAGTACTCCGGTGTAGATAGTCTACCATTTTTCGAAGAAAATAATTATTTAAATGCCTTCAAATATTTATTCTTTACAGTTTAAATTTTCTTTTGTAATTAAAAGTAGTTTAAAAGTGAACAAAACTCCTTAATTTCTTCAAACAATACTGTAAGAAAACTCTGCTTTATTGGATGCTTTATTAACTTGTGTATCTCCTAACAATGGGCTTGCCCAAAAGTACTAGAGAAACTCTTACTCAATATAAACAAGTTCCAAATTTATTACTTTGATATATGATATATAGCTTTTATATTCATGTAACTTATATCACTTTATTTGGCTAAAAAAAAAACATTATGATGGTTTAGTGACACACTCGAGATTTAATCTTGGGGGAACCGAGTCAAACAGATAAAAAAAATATATATATATTAATGCAAATTCAACAAAATTCTCACCTTATGTGACCGATAATTCATAAGTAATATAGAAATAGAAGACAAGTCACAATATAAATAAAAAAATGAATTTCTGGAAAATTTACTAGTGTTTCTTTTCCTTTTACTTTGGATGGTGCCAGGGTCCCTTGGTCTACACCCCCAGTTCACCACTGTAATAATGTATGTCACGACTAGCCAAACCTTGTCGTGATAGGAGTCATATACTGTATTGCTTATCAGAAATACAAGAACCATATTCTTTATTGAAACTGTACTTAATATAATAAATACGTACTCCACTGTAAGAGTCTAAAAGAGCCATACGAGGCTTGCAAGCCGAGTTTTACCAGCAAAGATATATATATGTATAATTTATGTAAAGCCGAAGTCATCAGATGTAAGGTACTATAAAAAAAACTTGAACAAAATTTAGTCAACTGTCTAAACTTATGCCCTAAATGTATTACTATATTATTTAAAATATTTAGGAATAACTTTGTACTTGTTTGAGATTTTAAATATATTTATTAAAATTACACAGTGACCTTCTAAAAGCCTTGAAATTAAACCCTGATCTCCAAACTGCTGATTATCATTTTTTTTTATATTTTTAATCATTTTATAATGATATTTTTTAAGATTAAAATTACTGAGTTAACAATTCATTCATATTTCTTATAAAAAATAATTATTTTATCAATTAAAAAAATAAGTTTTAAATAAGAAAGAATTTACCTGGTGATGGTAAAGCAGACAACCAACCTGTAAATAAAATTTAAACCTGTTTCTATCATTCAATATATAAAATATTTTAGAAAGAATGAAGATTATTATTGAATATCAAGATATTTAATATATAATATGATCATTTATTTGCACTTAAAAATGTTACAAAACTAGAAAAATATTTTAGAAAAGTTATCTACATTTGTTTTGTATGATTTAAATATTTAACAACGTCATAAAATAGAATAACAAGATATAAAAATGGACCACGTGTCAAAGGAAATCAGTGAAATATACAAGTCGACCCCCCTATAACACTGTTGATTATTCCGTTTTATATGAATTCCATGTTGTAGGAGTCACTTAGATTTTACAAATACGTGTGCCGGGCTGTGAACGGCTCACGTATTTGTAAAATCTAAGTGATTCGTACAACACGGAATTCATATAAAACAGAATAATCAACAGTGTTATAGGGGGTCGACTTGTACACTTTTATGCTGAAATAGAATAATTTTCTGATGTTTAATTAAAGCAAAGTCCGTTTTAGCGATAAGTATTGTTTATGTCTATAATTTTGATTAAATTTGCGACTTTTTTTTATTTATTTTTTTAATAAAATAAGAATATATCCTTTAAAAGTTATGAAAATTTCAATTATTTTAATTTAAAACTGACAAATTACATTAATATTTAACGTGTCTTTTGATGGAACATCTTGAACTACTTTCAGTCTGTACGAATGTAGAAATCATTTTAATAAATAAATAAATAAATTACATCTACTATCGTCACGATAAAATAATAAATTCGGGAATAAATGAAATTCATATGTATTTTTTCGTTTTTATCTCTAACAGTTCGTTGTAACTACAGTCGACCCCCCCTATAAGACTGTTGATAATTCCGTTTTAAATGAATTCCATGTTGTACGAGTCACTTAGATATTACAAATACGTGAGCCGTTCACAGCCCGACACACGTATTTGTAAAATCTAAGTGACTCGTACAACATGGAATTCATATAAAACGGAATAATCAACAGGGTTATAGGGGGACTCGACTGTATCTGTTTAGGATATTCGAATTTAAAAAGTGTATAAAATTATATAAATCTTTATTATATATATTACAATAATTAATAAAAGATTAGAATTATTATATTTTATCCTATAAAATAAGTTAATCGATATAAATCTCTTGTTAATTTGTATTAACTTCAAGGACTTATCGAATACCCTTAATTAATTAAAACATAATACAGTCTACAGTAAGTACACTGAACATTTCTATACAGTTCATAAGTTATTTACATGGATACAATATTTACTGTACAGTGTAAGAATTTACTTAATGACACATTACACCGAAATCGTAACGAAATAAAATTACCTGCCAGGCAGAATAATATCGCTACAAAAACGTACGTCTCCATAAAGTTACGGCAGAACAATTTCAATAAACTGATCAAAGTCTTCAACAAAATGATAATTTCGAAAGAGAGCGGTTCGATGACATACGTGCTACATATATCAGTTTTCGTCCTTCCATCTTGTTTACTTTCAAAGTCCTAAGTATTGTAGATAATGGTTAATAACAATCGAAACTCTGGCAAAATACCATCGAGTAATATATTTTCTGAAGGTAATATCTTCGGTTCGTGTATGACCTTGACCAATCATCGGGTCAGTGACAGCAAACGAAACCAGTTTTGTTCACCCTCCACAAACACCCTTTTCTTGTTATTTCCTGCGGGCTATGAACTGATACTAGCTTTATTTAAGAAAAAATATACATAACTTTTTGTTGTAATTCGATTGACAATGTTTGTTTATTATGTTGTTTCCTTTTTAAACTTATTGTAAAAAAATTAAAAGGTTTTAGAAGAGTTACGATGTAGAAAGCAAGGGTTTTTTTTTTTTTATCATTCGTTGTTACTTCCGTGTGCCACGATCTCACGCTAAGAATTTATAACATTGAAAAGAAATTTTTAAGAATTAAGAAGAAGTGCAAGTCAACCCCCCTATAACACTGTTGATTTTTCCGTTTTATATGAATTCCACGTTGTACGAGTCACTTAGATTTTACAAATATGTGAGCCATCCACAGCCAGGCAAATGTATTTGTAAAATTTAAGTGACTCGTACAACATGGAATTCATATAAAACGGAAAAATCAACAGTGTTATAGGGGGGGNAGGCAGGTTTCCGTTTTAAACAGATTTTACCATTTTAGGACAGTGTATATGAAGGGTATCGTCTTTAGACTAATATAAAATTCTTGTATTCATTTTTAAAACTCCTGCTATAAATCGAATCAGTCGACCCCCTATAACACTGTTGATTATTCTGTTTTATATGAATTCCGTGTTGTACGAGTCACTTAGATTTTATAAATATGTGTGCCGGGCTGTGAATGGCTCACGTATTTGTAAAATCTAAGTGACTCGTACAACACGGAATTCATACAAAACAGAATTATCAACAGTGTTATAGGGGTTTCGACTTGTACTAGTTTCTAATTTAACGAATGCAAGATTGAGGAAGTGTTTACAATAGGAAATACAGCAGAAATTTAATTTTAAATTATAAATGTTTACAGGATTTAGAAATAATTAAGCCTTTATCATCATCTTTCTTCATAAATTACTGTATATCTGGTCCTCAAGATTCTTATTAAAAAGTTATATTTTCTTATAAAATATTGCTAAATAAATAAAAAAAAAGGGGGGGAGAAAAACAGTAATTGGACCTTGGAGAATTTAAACGTCAACAAGTTAGATCATATTAAAGGTAAAGGCCTTTGCACATCCTATTAAAACTAATTAGGGGAAAGTGGTGCAAGATGGTGCCATGGGGTGAATCGGGGACGTCTGTTTATTCGTGATTAACCTGCTTTCATCTAGCTGTTATTTGGGGAATTAAATTTCAACCTCAAAAGGGATCACGGGACGAGAGAACGTCCGAATCGCTCTCTCTCTGTTTGGAAGTAAGACACTAATTTTACGCCCGCTACAAAGTTTCTACAAAGTAATTATCATTGTAAACTTTTACATTACCTTTTAGATGAAGATATTATGGTATTCGAAGTAACCTTTAAGACTGTAATTGTTTAATTTGAAATAAAGTTGACCTATGTTCGCAGTCAGTATGAAAAGTGCACATTGGGGCAAGATGGGGTACCCCATCTTGCCTCAGATTGTCCAAGAATATGGCCAACGAATCCAGAAGTATTTTCAGAGGTAGACTTTATTGCTACAGAGACGATAAATAGACCCTGTCAGCAGCAGGACACACAGGATGCTCGTTTTGGAACAATCAAAACCATGAAAAAGAAGGTATGCCTAATCTGGGTGCAGAAACGGTCACTGATTACACCACTACAAATAGGCCTACTCATTCAGTTTTTACTTAAGTCTCTCCCATAGAAATAATGCCAATTCCACATGTTGGAACCAAGAAAAAAAATCGAAAATAGAAGAAGGAGAGGGAAAACAGCAGTCCTAACAGATAAACCGTACAAGTAGCAGCTGATGGAACAACAAAAGAAAGACCCCAGGAAAAAGGTCTTTCTTTACCGAAAAAAATTCCGTAAAATCAAAAGTTACAGGCATCAGCAAGGATAGACCTAACAAAAGACAAATGACACAGAATGTGGAGGGTTATACTCTGCATCTACACAAAGTTGGGCTAAATGTAGGCATTGTGATAAATGGGCACACTGTTCTTGTGCCAATATGAAGAAAACGACAGTTTAACCATTTTAATTTGTCCTTCTTGTATATAAAAAATAATATCCCCAACTTACCCCATGGGTGAGGTAAAGATGATGCATTTACATATAATTTTAAAAATTATCGTTCTCATCAAAGTAATTTACAATCTTGTGACTTTTCAAACCTTAAAGTCCTCATCTTGTCCCACCTTGCCCTATATTTGAATACTTACTAATACTGTTTAGTTGAATTCTTGTTAGTTTGCCGGGCTGCAATTTTTAATTATATTTTTAATTAATTTAATTTAAAATATATGCTCTCCACCTCAAATTAGTAGTGTTTTTGTCCCTGTACATTATATCTTTTCTGTTAGCAATGGTCATCTGTTTAACTCCGTACTCGAGATTAAGGAAAGACAGACAGTGGGAATTTATAGATCTACAATTTTTTCAAATTGCAGCCCAATAATAAAATCAAAGAGTCCAATAAAGAGTCCATAATTAATATAAACAGGATAAAATGGAATGAAAGTTTTTCCCGCATCCATCGTGGGTTTGGCACACTCACAATGAAGTCAGAGTGGTAATATTCGGGACAGCCGATCTTTTTTGTTCGCCCGGATTCGAACCCGGTTCCTCAAAGCGCCCTAATCCGTATTGCATTTGTATTAATTATTGTTAAGAATTTTGTATTGTAGGATTGATGATTTTGGGTAAAACAACATATGGGCGAGATGCCAAATGGGGATGTCTCTAGTGAGAACTCTTATGAGAAACTATCCCTTATTTGAGCGTTAGACAAGTGAAGTAAACTCCACGTACCAGTCCGTTGGCGAGGCTCAAACCCACTACCAGTGTTCGGTGGTTTTATCCATTCGACCACTATTTCCGTTTCTATAATGAAAATATTTTATACTTGAGATTGGGTGCCAACTACACTGGAATTTTTATCTAATTTCTTATACAGATATTTAATTAATTGCTGTACTTAATTACACGGCATTCAATATAAATCTGCTCGAGTGGTATCTCGGAAACATGTGCTTTCACCAGAAAAGACCATGCTACCTATGTTAAATCGCGAAAGAAAGAATTTCTATCCGATAAGAATGCATTTTAAATAATGACGAAAGAGGCGACTCGTCATGTCAACGGACGATCTATACCACTTAAGTATTCTGATAGAATTCTAAGAAAGCCATGTGGTAAGTGTAGATGATAATATTTATCGACTAGAGTAGCACATTGTCTAGTTTCTGGCTCTATTCGTGTCACCTAAATAATATTATTTTAAACTAGAATTAGTTTATGAATAGATAATGAATGACGGAGAATGCATTTTGTTCATCCGTACTGATACCGAAATTTCTTAAAATAATTTTAATGACTTTGGTTTTGATGAAATGCTACAAATATCCGACTTGCTATAACATAATTTTATCAAAAAAATAACATTTTATCATAACCCAACTTCACCAATTAAAATACAGTAATTATCTTCAATGGGTAAACTAATAATAACTCTTAAATAATTCTATAAATACTCATTTTTATACGTTAATAAATTAAATATTTAGATCATTCTTTTTATTTAATTAATGACTTTTGTAATAAAGTCATTAATTATTTAAATATTTAGATCATTCTTAATATTTAATTAATGACTTTTGTAATAAAGTCATTAATTAAAAATAATTTAATTTTTATAATACAGTTTTAATACAGATCAACCTATAACACTGTTGATTATTCTGTTTTATATGAATTCCGTGTTGTACGAGTCACTTAGATTTTATAAATATGTGTGCCGGGCTGTGAATGGCTCACGTATTTGTAAAATCTAAGTGACTCGTACAACACGGAATTCATACAAAACAGAATTATCAACAGTGTTATAGGGGTTTCGACTTGTACTAGTTTCTAATTTAACGAATGCAAGATTGAGGAAGTGTTTACAATAGGAAATACAGCAGAAATTTAATTTTAAATTATAAATGTTTACAGGATTTAGAAATAATTAAGCCTTTATCATCATCTTTCTTCATAAATTACTGTATATCTGGTCCTCAAGATTCTTATTAAAAAGTTATATTTTCTTATAAAATATTGCTAAATAAATAAAAAAAAAGGGGGGGAGAAAAACAGTAATTGGACCTTGGAGAATTTAAACGTCAACAAGTTAGATCATATTAAAGGTAAAGGCCTTTGCACATCCTATTAAAACTAATTAGGGGAAAGTGGTGCAAGATGGTGCCATGGGGTGAATCGGGGACGTCTGTTTATTCGTGATTAACCTGCTTTCATCTAGCTGTTATTTGGGGAATTAAATTTCAACCTCAAAAGGGATCACGGGACGAGAGAACGTCCGAATCGCTCTCTCTCTGTTTGGAAGTAAGACACTAATTTTACGCCCGCTACAAAGTTTCTACAAAGTAATTATCATTGTAAACTTTTACATTACCTTTTAGATGAAGATATTATGGTATTCGAAGTAACCTTTAAGACTGTAATTGTTTAATTTGAAATAAAGTTGACCTATGTTCGCAGTCAGTATGAAAAGTGCACATTGGGGCAAGATGGGGTACCCCATCTTGCCTCAGATTGTCCAAGAATATGGCCAACGAATCCAGAAGTATTTTCAGAGGTAGACTTTATTGCTACAGAGACGATAAATAGACCCTGTCAGCAGCAGGACACACAGGATGCTCGTTTTGGAACAATCAAAACCATGAAAAAGAAGGTATGCCTAATCTGGGTGCAGAAACGGTCACTGATTACACCACTACAAATAGGCCTACTCATTCAGTTTTTACTTAAGTCTCTCCCATAGAAATAATGCCAATTCCACATGTTGGAACCAAGAAAAAAAATCGAAAATAGAAGAAGGAGAGGGAAAACAGCAGTCCTAACAGATAAACCGTACAAGTAGCAGCTGATGGAACAACAAAAGAAAGACCCCAGGAAAAAGGTCTTTCTTTACCGAAAAAAATTCCGTAAAATCAAAAGTTACAGGCATCAGCAAGGATAGACCTAACAAAAGACAAATGACACAGAATGTGGAGGGTTATACTCTGCATCTACACAAAGTTGGGCTAAATGTAGGCATTGTGATAAATGGGCACACTGTTCTTGTGCCAATATGAAGAAAACGACAGTTTAACCATTTTAATTTGTCCTTCTTGTATATAAAAAATAATATCCCCAACTTACCCCATGGGTGAGGTAAAGATGATGCATTTACATATAATTTTAAAAATTATCGTTCTCATCAAAGTAATTTACAATCTTGTGACTTTTCAAACCTTAAAGTCCTCATCTTGTCCCACCTTGCCCTATATTTGAATACTTACTAATACTGTTTAGTTGAATTCTTGTTAGTTTGCCGGGCTGCAATTTTTAATTATATTTTTAATTAATTTAATTTAAAATATATGCTCTCCACCTCAAATTAGTAGTGTTTTTGTCCCTGTACATTATATCTTTTCTGTTAGCAATGGTCATCTGTTTAACTCCGTACTCGAGATTAAGGAAAGACAGACAGTGGGAATTTATAGATCTACAATTTTTTCAAATTGCAGCCCAATAATAAAATCAGAGAGTCCAATAAAGAGTCCATAATTAATATAAACAGGATAAAATGGAATGAAAGTTTTTCCCGCATCCATCGTGGGTTTGGCACACTCACAATGAAGTCAGAGTGGTAATATTCGGGACAGCCGATCTTTTTTGTTCGCCCGGATTCGAACCCGGTTCCTCAAAGCGCCCTAATCCGTATTGCATTTGTATTAATTATTGTTAAGAATTTTGTATTGTAGGATTGATGATTTTGGGTAAAACAACATATGGGCGAGATGCCAAATGGGGATGTCTCTAGTGAGAACTCTTATGAGAAACTATCCCTTATTTGAGCGTTAGACAAGTGAAGTAAACTCCACGTACCAGTCCGTTGGCGAGGCTCAAACCCACTACCAGTGTTCGGTGGTTTTATCCATTCGACCACTATTTCCGTTTCTATAATGAAAATATTTTATACTTGAGATTGGGTGCCAACTACACTGGAATTTTTATCTAATTTCTTATACAGATATTTAATTAATTGCTGTACTTAATTACACGGCATTCAATATAAATCTGCTCGAGTGGTATCTCGGAAACATGTGCTTTCACCAGAAAAGACCATGCTGGAATAGGATTGGATAGATTTTGCCAAGTTTCTTCTTATTTTTTTAATACATTGCGAACACTGGGGAAAATAGAAAGAAGTTTTAAATTATAAGAAAATTTTAATCTTTATTATCGAAATATTCAATGAAATTTTGGGAATGCGAATGAAATTTCTCGTGTTTTCTGTGATAGCGTTATGGTGCCACAACAGAAGGAATCATTTAATCTACACGAAACTTCATAAATCAGCCTATAAATTTCTATAAACATTTGTTTCTTAAAGTCGACACGAAAATAATTACGGAACAATAGAGTAATGACATATGAAAATATTGCATTAGAAAATTTAGGCTGAGTAATCGGTGTAGAAGAAAAATTCTTATCTCAAGCCTATATATACCACGGATGTTCAAGTGGATCTAAATTTGTTATTTTGGATGGATGCGACTAGAGGGAAGATGCGACTGATTTTGCTCTCCCTCCTCCTTCTGTGGATATACCGAGTACCCTGTACTAAAAGCCTAACAAGGCCTTACATCCCTCAGTATATGCTGGATCTCTACCAAAACAAAGCGCCTTCTTTTTCATTTGACACTGTCAGAAGTTACAGTAATATTTTTGGAGGTTTGTTGGTGATTTTATGCTAAACTAGGGATACTTAACGATGATGTAACTCATTAAAATTAATTTATATAATTAATTATTTACCATAAAGTTAATTTTATTTCAGATCCGTACGAAAATGAAAACATTGTACAAGATAACCGCCATCACTTTTTGGGTTTTAACTTAAGTAAATCTCCTCCCAACGAAAGAATTGGTCTAGCTGAATTGAGACTTTATACGAAAATAAGAAATGACAGAATGGGTGGTAAGTTATTGATTTATTAAATTAAATTAATATTATATTAGTAGAATAAATTTTTCTCAAAATTTTGCAGAAAGTCAAATAACTATTTTCGATATTTTACCGAACGATCAGAGAAAAATAATAGCGAAAAAATCCTTGTATGGGATCTCTAGTTCGTGGGAAACTTTTAATGTTACGGATGCAGTGGTGAATTGGCTCCAGCATCCCGAACAGGATCATCGGCTCGAAGTTTATTTAGAAGGAGAAGATCAACAGGATTTAGATGTTAGCCTTGTTCCGTATCGAGAGACGGAACCATTACTACTCTTATATTCTAAAATAGAAAATAAATCCATTGAAGATGGCGTATTGAAGAGGATGAGAAGATCATTGGTACCACACAGAATCGAGAAAAGAAGTGAAGACGAAGACGAAGAACAAGAAGAAATGACTAATTATATTGTAGAAGAGCTCGGAAAGAAAGTAACGAAGAGAGGAAAAGTGAGAAGAAGGAAGAATCCTTGTCGTAGAAAACCGTTAAAAGTCAAATTCTCCGATATAAACTACGATACTTGGATAATTGCTCCCGAATCCTACGATGTAAGTTAAAATTTTCTTGATTTTTTTTTCAATTGATAAATCAACTGATTAATGTATTTAATGTAGGCATTCGAGTGCGCTGGTAAGTGTCATTTTCCGATGAGTGCCCATCTAACTCCCACCAAGCACGCCATCATCCAGACTCTGATGCATCAGACTAATCCAAAATCCGCATCTAGATCGTGTTGCGTACCCACCAAATTGGCACCCATTTCAATTTTATACTTAGACGAAGACGGAAGTGTCACATATAACTACGAATACGAAGACATGGTGGTGACTGAATGTGGTTGTAGATAAGAACTGCAATTATAATACTATGATATGTAATTCTATTTGATAATTGATTTTAAAGTTAGTGTTCCAGATGAAGTTTCCATAAAGCGAAGTAAGTTTATTCTTATTTTAATCATTCGGCTTTAATGTTTACATAGTTCAAAGATGAAAAGCATTACATAGGAATGTTAATACAGTAAATACTATAAAATAAATGGATACTCGAGAATTTCATATCTAAGAGTGCAATATATGTGCTTATCTGTATAATATATATTCTTTGTACATTTATAATAGATAATATAATTAGAATATATAAGACTAGCTGTGAAGATTCAGTTACATTATAACAGAAAATTATGTAAAAAAGTTAATAAAAATGTAACTGATTTATCTATTTTATGAACAATTTCTTTCACGTGTAACACTTAGAGAACATTTGAATTTAAGTTCGATACATAAACATAATTAATTAATTACAGTCGACCCCCCCTATAACACTGTTGATGATTCCGTTTTATATGAATTTCATGTTGTACGAGTCACTTAGATTTTACAAATACGTGAGCCGTTCACAGCCCGGCACACGTATTTGTAAAATTTAAGTGACTCGTACAGCATGAAATTCATATAAAACGGGATAATCAACAGTGCTATAGGGGGGTCGACTGTAATCACTAGTTAATTCACAATCAAAATTTACTTGCTGGTATAAATAGTTTATTTTTTTTTTATTAATGGCTCGTATAAGAATGCAAACTTTATCTAAATTAATATATTTATCTGTTACAAACTTAGTACTGTATTAAAGTATATCATTTATACAGACAAACCTGTAAACGACGGCCACTGAACGTAAAATAATGGCCTTGTTTAAGGGTTATTATATATAAATTTCAAAAAGAAACGTTCCCAAAAGAAAAAAAAATGGCTGCCATTTAGAGGCGGCTCTTATTGAAGGGCGGCTGTATTTATAAATACATTTTATAATCCATACAATTTTCCAAAATATTCTTCTATTTACCTAACTATTTTCTCTTCAAACCTATCTGCCGATAGTTTTATTTAGTATTTAATTTATAAGCTGCACATTATTTATATATTTTACCTTAGGCTAATCATTTATATCTAATTATAAATAAATAAATTTATATATATATATATACAAGATTATTAATTATTCTTATATTATAAGAAGCAATCTGAGACGTAACTGGGTTAGATGGCGCTTCGGTTTAGTCAAAAAATGGCGCTATTATAAACAATGTTCTTTAATTAATATTCTGGTACATTCGAAAACGTCCGGAGAAAGGAGGACGTATAATATCTACAAAAATAAAATTTTTTTTTACTAAAAGACAAATAAAATAATAAATTTCTTCAATATTTTAACTTCTGTTTAAATTAATTAAATTTTAATATAATTTTGAGTCATTTGAAGAAATTTAAAAAATAAAATAGAATTATCAATTCTAATTTCGTATATTACCGATAAATATAATAAACAGTAGCTCAATTAAGTGAGTAAGCCAATGACATACTTCGTTTCATATGGAACGGACTCTGTCATTGGCTTGATTATGCTGCTGCCATCTAGATGACCTAATGTAAAGCTAGTTTTCAAAACTAATGATATATATATTATTAAATATTTTTAAATTATAAAAAAGAAAATCAAAATTAAATCTATATTAGAATTAATTTAATAAGAATTTAGTTCAATTAAAATTTCAATTCGAAAAGTAATTGACCAATCGCGATACGTTTTACAAAATCTTAATACGTATTTTGATAAAGGTTTCGATATCAGAAATAATGCACGAGCAATAACATTTTTTATAACAGTAAAAAATTCGAAAATTTATTTTTTAAAAACTATTCTTGATATTTAACAAAATAAAACTGTAAAAAAAATTTTAAAAAATATGTCAGGAGTGGGATTCGAACCCACGCCCACATACGTGGACCAGAATTCACACCGCCACCTAGTGGAGAAGGCATTAACCTTGAGTCTGGCGCCTTAGACCGCTCGGCCATCCTGACACGAGCCGAAAGCAACAAATTAGCACTTAAATAATTAATTAATAATATATATATTTGTAACACGTTTAAAAATCAAAATAAAATATAAGAATCCTAAAATTACACGAAATTATTCATTTTTACAAATTAAAATAGAAAATCCACCCGCAAAAAACATTTTATATAAGCGAATCAAAGTATTTTTTTCCTTTGAAGATAGCCTCGCCATCTGACGGAATTTCCTGGTATTAAATTTAAATAGTAATTAATNCTGTAGGGGTAGACCGTCTGAGATATTAATTGTGTTAGAGAGACAGTCTTGAGTGAATCTGAAGGAGAGAGAGAGAGAGTATCTAGGTTAAGCTGTCTCCTGCAAATAGTTGGAATTTAATTTAGTGTAATAGAACGGAATGGGTCTGTCAGAGTATACCAGCTGCTGCCTTGGTGAGCCCATATAGGCTTGGTATTAGGGTAGAGACGGTCGATAGAAGAATCCCACGGTATTGGTCAAGTCGGAGACTTTACTATCGCTTAAGTGATTTCTTGCAAGGAACTCGTCGATCGTTTGTTCGTAGACGGACGACAGTTTTTGGAAGCTAGAATAATAATTTTTATCCCGCAGGATAATTGGATTTTGATTTACGAACTCTTTCAATTTTCAATTGTGTCACGCGCTGCCGACGAGTCGGGAGGCGGCATATGCGAAAGAAAAAGTTTGATTGATAAGTAAAGCGCGTTGACTTATTAAGTGACGAAACTGTGTTCCATTACGTTGGCCGGTTATTGTCTAGGGGCGGCTCTTGTTTACGACAGATTAATTTGATTTGGGCATCCGGGACTTGTAAATGACACCGAGAACATTTCCCACAACCCTAAAGCCAATTTGGTCCCACATTGGCCCTGGGATGTCCTATAGGCGGTGTCCAAAAGCCGAAGCCATCCAACAGTCAACTCCCAAAATACTCATCAATCTTCGACACGAGTCTGGCTCAAATCGGAGCAATTAAAGACCTATCATTCATCCTGTGTTTTATTTCCTCCCTCGAGAGTAGTTACTATAAAGACACAAACTACTATCCTCGCTCTCTTACTGACTGCTGTTGATACTCTTAATCCACTGATGGCTTTCTCTTCTAACTTTACTTTTCCACCTTTTTTTTCTTTACTCTCAATTGATTTTTCCCCCTTTCCTTCGACTTTTTTTCTTTATTTTTAAAGCTTTACATATACCTAAGGCCTACTACTAGTTGGATGTCGAGGTGAAGAACATGCAGGCCTGTAGATTAAGAACGTATACAAGCCCGAATACAAGTGATTCCTTCCTGTTATAACGCTACGTACAGTCAGTCGACCCCCTATAACACTGTTGATAATTCCGTTTTATATGAATTCCGTGTTGTACGAGTCACTTAGATTTTACAAATACGTGAGCCGTTCACAGCCCGGCACACGTATTTGTAAAATCTAAGTGACTCGTACAACACGAAATTCATATAAAACGGAATTATCAACAGTGTACTGTATGATGAGTAAACTCTTTTTAGATACACGTGCGTAAAGGTGTTAATCACGTTCGGGCTTCTTCACCGTAGGAAATGTATTAAAAACGTACGAAGGGAGAGAAATTCCTATGAGAAATTCCTTATTATATAAGAAAAAATGGCTCCTAATGATGGAAGTGACGAAAAGGGTCGAGGGTTCTGTATCGATAAACACTTAATTTCGGGAATGCGGGCCATAAATATTTCGTAAAATCTCAGGTAATATAATCTAAGGATCCCTTTTTTTTTTCAAAGAGGGTGGGACTTTTGTATTTAACAAAGCAGGCACACGTATGGATGTCGAGCATTTAAAGATGGTGTGTTAAGAGGAGGAATGATAGAGAAAAATAATTTATCGACCTCTCGATAAAAACGAATTACAAACGAAAAGACATTAATACGAAGTAGTAATTCAAGACCTTTCAAAAAATTTATTTTTTTTTTCGCAAATTTAAACGCCAATTGAAAAAGATAAGACAAAGTCGATGATTTTTGGAGAATCAAAGCAGATAAGAGAGACAAGAAGACAAATGAGACAACAGCGGCTTTTTGTCTGCTTTAAAAAAAAAAAGGAGCAATGCTTTAGATAATGCCGATTAGAGGGTCGATTTGCAAAGACAAAACCGGCTCGATAAGACGTCCATTTGCGAGTAAGTTATTAAAGCAAATGAGCGAGAGAGAGAGAGAGAGAGAGAGTTGGGCAATGGCTTCTTTCACAAAGGAACACAGCTGCAGTCGCAGTTGAAAGCCGATCTGGAGTTTGAACAGATGGACCGTGTTGGGGTTGAACGTCAAGTGTATGGTTGAATGCAACGAATGACACTTGGTCGTCCCCCGCCGCTCGACACATCCGCAAGTGAAATCAGACAGATGGTAAAGATTTGACGCACTTAATACCGAATATTGTCTTATATACGGTGGGATTTTTAGATAGGTCGGCCAACCTATAGCCATATGGATGGGAGGATGAGTCATGGTTTTACTGACGTCATTCCGTGAGTCAGGAGAAACCTTTCCAATCCAGTTGCCAAGATGTAAATTCCATTAATGGAACTGTAGGGGTAGACCGTCTGAGATATTAATTGTGTTAGAGAGACAGTCTTGAGTGAATCTGAAGGAGAGAGAGAGAGAGAGTATCTAGGTTAAGCTGTCTCCTGCAAATAGTTGGAATTTAATTTAGTGTAATAGAACGGAATGGGTCTGTCAGAGTATACCAGCTGCTGCCTTGGTGAGCCCATATAGGCTTGGTATTAGGGTAGAGACGGTCGATAGAAGAATCCCACGGTATTGGTCAAGTCGGAGACTTTACTATCGCTTAAGTGATTTCTTGCAAGGAACTCGTCGATCGTTTGTTCGTAGACGGACGACAGTTTTTGGAAGCTAGAGCCACCTTAAGCTATCCTCGAATTCTCCAATAGCACGGCGGGCGGATCTAAGGTGTTGGGATCTAAGAAAAATTCTGATAGATCCTGACAGTTACGCGGATGAAGGGATTCTCTTCTCGTCTCGATTCTCTTTTTCTTATTCCACTTTGAAGAAGTTTCTTCGCCTCCTCCTCCTCCTCCTCCTCCCTCTCTCTCGTTTTTTAACACTACACAAAAATCTATTTTTATTTAGGACCTTTTTAGAAACTATTTTTTTTAGATAATTCGCTGCAATTCTGCTTAAAGTTATCTCCTTTTCGTTTACGTCTAACCTGATTGCCGGCTTCAATTAGTGAAGTCTATGTTTGATAAATACCATATGTAGCTCGGGGGTAAGCGATTCAGCCATTCGCCCTGACATTGACGTATTGAAGCGGTTCCCTCAGGACCCTCTCTGTTCTCATACATAATACAACAGTCTCCGATGCCTTTAGGCGTCTGTCAACTGGGTTTCTGAGAATATTTCTACTTTTATGTCATCTGACAAGATGGAAAACTTGGGAATCTATACAATGTCTTCGGCGCTACGTGAGGCAGAAGTTTTATATTTCGGAAATAATTCCTTATATAGATTTAAACGGGGGAAGGGAGAGAGAGAGAGAGAGAGAGAGAGAACGGAGTCGTGCTTCAAAACAAGTGTTTTCTCTGATACTTTTTGGATATTTTTGTCTTTTATCTACACCCTTATCTTCCGATCTGTCGGATGTCGATATCAAGCCGAGTAAAAGTTAGTGGAAAAGGAGGAAAAATGAAAGAAGAAAAAAACAAAAAACACAATCAAAATCGTTGTTGCTAATGAGTCAGGTCATTAACGTGAATTGTTTTTGGTGTTAAAAAGATCGTCATTTGTGCAAAACCGATAACAACAGACGATTGGATCGAACGGATTATAGTGTGACGATGCTTTCGAGTTAACATTTTGTAGATTCAGCCAAGTTTTTACTGTTAAAAAGTATGGAGAGAAACGAAAAAAACACGGTACCGACAGGATATATTAATCCTATTGAAGTATCGATTCGTGCGTAGTGTTAATGTTTACGCTATTAACTTAATAAATTCTATACAGGAGATAAATATAAACACGTTTTAACCATTAAATGAGACGATAATTGACAATTTTGAAGAGTAAAAGTAAGGTGTTATAGAGACGAAACGATGATTTATCCTTTAGAAATGGGATGAAATAGGTCGAAAATGATTAAAATTAGGTTATAAAGTAAACAAAAATGGAGAAAGATTGATAATGCAATTAGAGTTTTGCATGTAAAACTAATGAAAGAAGTTTTCCATCTTCTATATTAATAAAAGTTTGCAAGATTTTGTTAAAGTGGAAACTTAGTGGCGTAAAACGCATCAGTTTTCTCGTGATTATAATATTACTACTCCAGATAGGTGATGGAGATAAAATTGGAGTAGAGTAAAGCCTTCAATTCGTTTAAGGTTATCCGGGATATACAATGGTCAAAATTTGGTCAGGGCAGAAACGGATGCAATTGAAGGGAGGAGAAGACAAGAATAGAAAACATTAGATTCCTCTTCTCATTTGAATATAGACAGAGCAATCCAGTGCACATTACGTCTTTCCCATCGTCTGCAGGGGGTGAGGAGAATGCATAAGAGAAGAAAAGGGGGGGTGGGTAAGAATCATTTTCTCCTTCCTTCAACTAATCTTCCTCAGACGGCGAAGAGTTGTGTCCGATGGAATTTACGAGCGTGAAATGCAATGTTTCGGCCTGAATGGAAGTCGTTGAAAACTTAAAAGCAAAATGGATTTGCGTTTGTACGAGATGAGGAGTGGAAAAGATCGACGTAGTAAAGCGGAAACATCTTCATGCCAGAGCGATCACCTGCTCCTTCATTTGACAAACATATATGCGCAATCGATATAACCATTTCCTTCTATTTCGTAAGCGCCCAGTCTGACATGTGTAGGGACGAAGGGACAAAGTAGAGGAAGGAATGTCTTCCTAATGAATATCGTCTGATGAATGTTAAACGGGAGAGTGCGATCAACCGAACACAAGCGACGAATCTGCTGTTTTCGGTAAAGACAGCTGCTCGCTTTCTCTGACCCATCCACATATAAAGACCGAAATATATACTTTCTTACCCTCTTACTAATTCCAAATTCCTTTTAAAAAAAGTGTCCACTCTTCAACAGAAAATACTTATTAACTGTGTATTTTTGTAATAGACAACGTTCTTAACTTACGCTCTGTTCGATAAAAATTCACTATTTGCACGGCCGAGTGACTAAAATCCTCTTGTTTTTTTTTTTTTTTAATGTCGTTCTTCTATCATCCGCGGGTTGCGGTCTCACCATCTGTCTATCAGTTGCATGGTCACTAGAAGCAGGATGTTGACTATCTTCAAACGTTATGAGGCTTGATACTCGCGCTCGTAAGCTCTTATCTGAAACCCTAGAACGCATTGTTTCGCCTTAAATGGTTCTTGTCGTCAGCTTCTTTGCCCCTCACCGAATATCTTTCCTCCATTCATACTTTTATGTGTCCCCTGTTCGGGGGGGGAGTATCGATCGTTCTCCACACACACGCACACACTCACACACACACACACACCGGAGACAATATTTTAGAAGTTTTATGATAGAAGAGCAGAGAAAGTTTTGATAAGAATAACGTTCTTTTTAAGGTCTGCCAGTCAAGAGAGTGCGATAGAGGCTAGGCTATTTTCTTGATGTCCTAACACATTCTACAGTCCGGGCGACAAAGTCCATTTACTTTTGACATTAGCGGAATGGTTGTATGGAACCGACAAGGTAAATAAATTATGTCTTTTTGGCTCTCTTTTGAATAGGAAAATATGCTGTTTTATAGAGGTTTTTTTTCCCCCATTTTCTAAACAAAGGAGTAGAGGAGTCTAAGGAGATGATAATCTCTCCTTATTGGCTTTTGTTTAAGTCAATTGTCATAACTTAATCGATGCACTTTACAATAATAATATGTCTCGTACACGCGTTTTAATGGAGAAAAATGATAAAAATTCGTAAGTTTAAACGTTATAAGAAATGAAAATACGTAAAATTTAATAGAATATATATATATATATATATATATTTTTTTTTTTTCTTAGAAAGAAAATAATAATTTTTATGATCTTAGAAGAGTTTGATCGCGTTAGAAAACGTCTTTGGACATCTTTCCATTACTTGGCCGGACATTTTCCAAACCTCAATATTTCTGTAATATAAATGTTGATACGGCAATTTCCAAAGGATGGGATCAACGGCCCTCGGGCTGTTAGACATATGGGATAGACCGTGTGCGACCACAAGATACAGAATTACATCGACACAGACTGGCGACTGTGATAGGAGGAAATTGATGGGGATTCGTCTTTTGCACTTATAGGGACTTTTTCTTATAGCCTTGAGCCTTTTTTTTTGAATGTTTGTAGAACTGTTGCCTTAGGAGCTAATAATGGGACACACATTTCCGTTGATCTTTCTGACTCGCTTTATTTTTTATTTTTTCAAACTTATTTTTGAAGCTCCGTCAGCAAAAAGTTACAAATGCAGTTTAGAAAATATGCAACTCTATGATAAAGTGAATAAGAGATTTCTCCTAGCTTCGAGGTAATTGAGACTGTTCCAACTGAATAAAAATGTTATTATAGGAATAAAATATAAATTTATCAATTTTTAATATTTAAAATATAAAAAAAAAACATTGCCTGAGGAATATTAAATATATATATATATTTTTAAATATATTCCGAAATATTTAATTATCTATTTATTAATGTTAAATAAAGAAAGGTATTTTATTTTTTCCTTAAGAAAATAAAGAAAAATTGTTGAGAACTCTTTCTAAGTTTTGTCTTTCAGTGAAGCCAAGAGACAGTTGCAAGACTCCCACATCTTGCTTGACACAGTCCGCTGTCAGGAGAACGAAAGGCGGACGACAACCAACCAATCACTATCCAACGACGTCTGACAACTGCAACATTACTGGAGGTTCACTCTGTTCTCTAATGAATCCGGTCCTGACTGCAGCACGTCAGTCGGCTCGCTAGAATGGATGTGGATGAAACGTTCTCTTGGCTTATTACACGTGCTTTCTGTCTAGTTATTCGGGGTTGAACAGGTAAGTTTCGATAATATTCTACACTTTTGTAAACTTATATAACTTCTCTTTCTCGTATTTTTATAAGCGGTGACTCCTGTAAAGCGTGCTTCACCCGCGGGCTTCGTAGTTATGCAGGGAAGCATCCTTACTCTTTTTTTCTTGTAAATTATGCGATTTTAATTAAAATTAAATAGATTTTTTTGGGAAATGATTTAATTAATTGTTTAAATTTATAGAATCGGAGTAATTTTTCTAATGATTGTCGCGTATTTTTCTTTAATTATGAGATTTTCTTCACTGAGGAGAAAAATAACGCCTTGAACTTCTTAAGTACAACAGATGTTACGATTTTCCGACTTCTCATCCACACGACAGATTTCGTAAATTGGCAAGCAGGTGTTTGATGACGTCAGCGAAAATAGAGTGGAGAGATCATAGGGAGAGAGAGCTCTTGTCATCGCTAAGTGTCCTGCGACCCTTGACATCTGTCGATCCCTGATCTTCAATTATATCTTGACAATCACAAGATCTGTACTTTACTGATGATTAACGCTTTGGGATATATTTTAAAAGGGAAAAAAAATACAGCGCGTAAAGGGTAGGAACTTTGAAAAGCTTTAAATGTCTCAATTTAGTTTTATTTTAAGCAGTTTTTTAGGCTAAAACTACCGAATACCTATCCAGTTTTTTTTTCTTTTTTTACCTGTAGAATTAAAGCTTTACAAAATAAGATTTTTACACGTCGAGAGAGCATTACAGGGATTAATTTTCAATCGCCGTGCACTGTCAATCTCATTACTGCCATCTTCTATACAGTGGGAGCGACAAACAGAGGGAGAAGTTCTATCGCTTATAATTGACGGAGTGGGGACGTCCCGTCTGCCATAGACACCTTTTTTTTGGAGGGGAGTGGGAGGTTTGGATGTAAAGTGCTTTTCGCTGCTGCTTGCCACAGATTGGATAAGACAGATGGTATGTTTGTTCTGCACACAGCTTGGTTGGCCGTGAATTATGGCTATCAGAGAAAATGGCCCGGAGACCGATCGTAAATTAGGGCTTCGCAACATTGTCGCTACTTTCAAATCGTCTCCTGCGTCATTTCATCACGTTATTGGTGGGGATTCTTATATTAAACCAAGGGTAGATAGTCCGGACTTATGGACAGTAGTTGTTGATGGTCCTAGTAAGAAAGAATGCCGTAACGACGTCGTTATGTGAATCTGTGTTTGGATGCGGTTTTCTCCTATTTCCACAATAGGAAAATGCTCGAAAAGTTTACTTTTCGACCGGGATTTTGTTCAAATTTTATACCGGATTCTCGCTTAAAACAATAACAAGATATTTGATTAATAATTAGATTAAAGTTAACAGAAAAAGCGATAGAAACCTTAACGCTTTTTTTTTTCTATTTCATTTTCTGCAATAATTTTATGCAGAAAACCATTTTTAAAACAAATTGAAAGACTAAAAAATGTATTAAAATTGCATATAATATTTAGTTTATTCGACGATATAACGGCTTAAAACACGCGAAGTAACTTTAACCGAGAAACAGGTATGGATAAAGATAAAATTATTCTTTAATTCATTATTAAAAGAGTTTCAACCAGACTGTAACAGAGACTGGCGTCAGTAACATTAAATCTGTCACAACACAAGAGAAACTTCTCAACAATGAAGCACGAGTCGTGTATTAACATGCAAATCACAGGCAAGAGGAGCGAATCGGCTTTTGCCTGCTATATATCATTTCCTTTCCATATGACAGCACTAGTGTCGTCACTACTAAGAAGCGAACGGTTTTTTTTTCCAACAGGGAGAAAGATGTTCGCAAATGGACGCAATTTGTGAATCACAGGAATTGGAAAACAATTTGAAATTCATATCTGACTGAGACATCATTTATCTGGCAGGGTGGGAGAGATCTTCTTTTCCAAGAATGAAAAATGGCGTTGGCTTTGCACAAAGCGTTATCTGAACTGCTAGTCTTCGATCATTCAATCGTACATTTATAATCGTAACATATAATCAAATTATTGTTGGCTTTGTTACATATTTTATGAGATTTTACTCTGCGGGGGTATACGCCAAATCAATGAAGGAATTTTTCCACTATTCCCTTTGCTCATCAATAACAACCCACTTACTAATGGGTTGCAGTCAGAGAACCATCAATTTTGTGAATTAAAACGGGATCAGAATTTTCCCTCCTTCTCTTTGGGATTGTCAGAGTCGACAACATATGCGACCGATGAATTATGGAAAGTCTACAAGAGCCGACTCGCTACACTTTGTTTCTTCCGGATCCGGAGACAGGTCGGTGACAGAAACTCTACTTATTTGAGAGATGTTTTCCATTAGGGACGTTTCTTTTGGCTCCACGGCCATTCCTCTCCTAATATATCTGCTTTTGAAGTGGATCAGATTCAGCAAGAAGCGGAGAAATGCAGTAAATCGCCTATACCACTCCTATCTATTGTTTAGGCCATCTCTGACTTAATTCAATTCAAATAGTAGATAAGGGACGAACAGCTAACATACTACATCATATAACTTCTTTTCTTTCTATATAACATTACCGAATAATGGATAAAATAAATAAACAGATATAACGCCATTTTATTTATAACTAACGCATTTAAACAGTATAAATTGTCGCCTAAATCTCTTCCATTTTTAACTTTAATTATCTTTCTTCTCTACAAAATCTTACAGTAAATAAATTTAATTTTTTTTTCTTTATAAATTTAAGGAAGTAAATACAATTAACCTCTATCATTCTCTTCCTAAACTACAGTCGTAAAATACTTAAATATTATTAAAGAATTATCATCTGTCCTAGTTAAGTTAGATCAGGTTTTTCAAGATGTTATTCTGGATTTTTTTTTTAACTGTTTAGTTGTTAGTTAATTGACGATGCGTAGCAATTAAATATCATTTCTACGTATACTTGACTAGCCCCAGGGAGAAACAGACTTCTAATTAACTTTAACTGTGTTAGTTTTTCTTTATATTTCTGTTGATTGATAAGGTTATAAACCTTTTAAACGATATAAAATCTTGAATTTTCACCGGAAAATTTTATATTTTTCTCGCTTTTCTTAACGTAGGATTGTATAGATATTCCAGGATACTTCTCACTCTAATTAATCATATTTTTTTGCATTTTTAGAAGATTTAAAACGGTAAATGATGTTATAATTCTTTAAAATATCGATAATAACTTCTCCTTCGTGTCGTAGAATCACGATATCTCGTCACGATGTGTGTCGCAACTAGTGTCGAGTCACGCCAACTTCATCCACCTATGCAGGTTTTAACGTAAAGTACAGCAAATTTTAGTAAGATTATATGCTTTAAATAATGTTTTTCTAAAATATTAAGAAATTATACATTTTTGGGGTCAAGTTTCTAAGCTTTAGATTATTTAGAAAAGTTTAAAAAAAGAATTATTTTCTTGCCACAGAAGGAGAGAGAGAGAGAGAGAGAGGAGAGAGGAGAGAAGAGGAGGAGCAGGAAGGAAGAGAAAGAGAGAGAGAGGTGATTTAAAAATAGAAAATTTAGGTATATTTCGAAATGATAATCTTTAATCTCTGTCTAAATCTCACCCCTACAAGCGATTAATCGCATAATTTAAAATATTGTATACTTCACTACTTTTAAAATTGTTTAATCTTCTTAAAATCTCCAACAAAATCTGGATTTTTTTTTTATGTATCAAAAGCATTCAAAAGAACTCACTCGAACTGAACAATCTGATAATATTAATCTACAGAGAATATATTTTTAAAGTAGCATTTAAGCTACATTTTCCAGAAAACTTAGTGAAATCCTTCTATTTTCTTTCTAATCTTTCAAATTCGAATTTTTTTTTTATTTAATTCATCCTCCTACCTTTTATAGGAGTATAGGATTAATGAAATTGCTCGACTCGAAACGTCTCTAAATAAAAATAATTAATGCAAAAAAAAAATACCTCGTTAAAACATTATTTAAATAGAAAAATACACAAGCTTACGTAGAGTAAGCTTGAGTTATCTTTGAAATATTATCATTTTATTATATATTTTTAAAATTTAATATATTTAATATATTTAGCACTTAATTTACCAGCGATTTACTTAAAACAAATCGTATATATTTATAAATTATTGTAAAACAAGTGTTTCTTCGAATCGTCATTTTATACTTTTACTACGTAAATTTCTTACAAAATGAGCATTCTTTGGTCTAAATCCTTTAATTATAATCGAGTTTAGATAATAAATTTTCTAATTTTTTGACTCAATGCAGGGTTAAAATATATACGAATTTAATTTCTTGTACAGCATCTTCGCTAGCTGGGGTTTGAAATGTATAAGATTTAGTCCACGACCTTTGCAACTTTTACACATGAATACACGTCCGGATCATTGTTCTCTCTCTCTTATCTTTTACATCTTCTTCATCATCAATCAACTAGAAAAATACGATTTTTATTATAATATTTCTTACTTTCCATTTCTCATCAGGCGACAAAAAAGTACGGATTTTGATACGTCTGGATGGGAGGATGCACGTTCTCCTCCCTACATCTTTAACATTGCAAAGTACCTTGAATAAGAAATATAAGAATTTGAATCTCCTGAGACAATTTAAATGAAATCTTTGGCCATTTTAGACCGGAGAGCAGATTTTTATCCTATTTTTTATATATTTTTTAACAGTATAAACACACAAAATAGAGTCGAATCTGACGAGTAATTTGTCTGAAAGCAGACTCGGGATGTAGGCGGAGTATTTTGATAACGGACTATGTGGTTCCAGCTGTCTGCTTCAGTTATTAATGGAGAGGAGAGAGAGTGACATTGGAGTAATAGACTGAAAACATTTCGTCCACACTCGGGTTTCCTCCGCATCCTTGGAAATATTAAACCTTTCCACTAGATTCCTGTTGACACAATCGGTGTTGTTTTATTTTCAAACGTAAACACAATCTTATTCATTCAATCTGCCCACAAGTCATCTAAGCGAGTACCAAGTTTCCAAACAACTTTGGAGATTATCATCCTGCTACGAGAAACCTTGTCGACATTTTGTAACTTTATAGGGCCAAATTATGTAATAGAAGGAAAGGAAAACGTCTCAGAATGTCTAATACCCCATTAAACAGTTAAATTACTTAATGTATTGCGATTTAAAATTCCTAAACATTCCTCAATGACGGAATGGTTTCGAAATTTAAAGTTCGATTGTAAATATTGATACGCTGTAACGTCTCGAACATTTCACTCCAGCGATTTTCTTAAAAACTTCTCGATATTTTTATAAATTTATATTTTAAAGTGTTTTTTATGATCAACACTCTTCTATTGCCTAATATCAAGTAGCCTTTGTTTAAAAAAATATAATTTTAAAACCCTATTTATATAGATAATTTCCCACAAGAATCCTTAAAATAAAAATAAAAAAAATTAAATTAAGGATGAGAAATTCTTTATTAAACATAACTTCATGGGGCCCAGGCACATTTTAATTAGTGGGGCCCCACGTACAGTGTTGATTTACGACGTTTTTGTTCAATGGATTTTTTTTTAGGGAAAAATTCTTTTTATAAAAGATCGGTTTGGGGCCTCCTGTTAGTTAGGGCCCCGGACAATTGTCTTTTATGCCCATAGGATAACGCACCACCGAACCAAAGTAAGATTTTCACGTACGCTTAGGGCACTTTATATTTTAACTCTGCAGCTTAGGGCCTAGTTTTAGGGCCTCCGCATTCGTTATTCGGCGGTTTAATTTAAGGGCCCGTTATATATATTACAGCTTAGAACCACAACGGGTGAATTTCATCTTCGCTAGCCTGCATTAAATTTACGATTAAAGAAAAGGCGAATTTTATTGATAATTAAAGAAATATTAATTTAAATTTAGGTACAAGATGGGCGAATCTTTTCCTAGTGTATTGACTCAGGAGCCTATTAGCAAGGGAACACTGTTAGGCCCTCTTTCGTTGTCTCCTACAAGCGTGGATCCACTCGCTCTTCTAGCATGGAGATGCCAAGATCAATTCCCTGATACTCGCCACGTGATTAAGGTGAGTAAATAAATTTTTCCATACATAAAGTTAAAAAAAAAAAAGAAAGAAAAAAGTGTCCGCATTTAACAGGTTGCCGAAATAACGATAAGTTTTCTTAAAGGCAAAGGATATTTTTGTTATCTGTTGAAGGTATATCCTAGAGACCAAGATAACGATTGGTTGGTTCATGTGCAATCCGCTCGAGACGGCGAAGAGCAAAATTTAGAAGTTATTGTCAAATCAGGACATTTATATTATCGTGCCATTCGAGATATTTCGGCAGAAGAGGAACTCTTTGTCTGGTTCGGAGAAGATTTAAATGACATTTTGCAACTTCCTATGATACCTTCGACTACGGTGGACGGTGAGTTTCATTAACTTCTAAGAAAATTACGATAGAAAACTTATTCAAAAGTACAGTAAAACCTGTGTAAACCGGAATCGATTCGACGGGTTTCCGTTTTAAACAGGTTTTTTTTCCTTTGTTTTACATAGAAAATTGCTCCGTTCGTTCCGAAGAATTGCTTTCTTCTTTAGACAGGTTTCTCTGTTTAATTCTGGTTCCGTTCTAGACAGGTTTTATTGTAATTTCAAAATTGAAGTGTACAAAAGTTGAAGAAAATAAAATATATTTATTTAATAATTGAATAAATTTATCTATGAACATTTCTTTCAGTCGAAGATCGTTTTTTTTTTTTCGTTACAGGTAACAAACGTTTTTACTGTATACTCTGCCAGAAATTATTTAAATACCCGAATTCTGTGATCTCCCATTTGCTTTATCGTTGCGAGAGACGTAACTTGCCACCCGTTATGGAAACGACAACAAAAACCAGAAGCAAAGTGAAAAGTTTCGATATAGCATCGTTAACAACAACCGAGAATGACGTTCGACCAGCTAAGAGACTTATGACAGATTCCTCAGCACCCATCAAGTATGACGATTGCCCTCAACAGATGGAAGTTTCATCCAATTCTTTTAAAATCCCCTCTCTGGGTACGGAATCTAATCTGAGTGCATTCAAGAAAGTGGATAAATCTCAATCGTTCTCCATTTTTCCCAGATTACCCAGCGATGTGTTACCGACTACCACTACCAACTACCCAATTCCACCCTATCCGGCACCCAATTCTCCTCAAGACAGTACCACACTGGTAACATCTCTGACCAGTGCTTTCGTACCGGCACATTTAGGTGAACCACTCGATAAAGTGAAAGTACGATACGAGAGTAGATCGTTGATACCCAATCCTTACAGTACCAGAAGTACCAGTTTGCATCTACCATACTCCAAACCGTTTCCTTCTCCGGTTGATAATTTCACTAATAAAACACTACCTTCGGCTTTACTTTCGTTCTTACCACCCTCACTGGCGGCTCTGACGCTTCCTGCCCAAAACTGGTGTGCCAAGTGTAATGCCAGTTTTAGGATGACCAGTGACCTTGTGTATCACATGAGGAGCCATCACAAAAGGGAAGCGGATGCCACTAAACAGAGAAGGGAGGAGAAATTAAAGTGTAATATCTGTAACGAAACTTTCCGCGAACGTCATCACCTTACTAGACACATGACGTCACACCAGTGACGGTAACTTTCGATTGGTTGATTTCAAAAATCGTAAGAGTGTTTTGTTTTCTCTGTTGTGTTGTGGCTTTGTACATAAAATAATAATAATAATAAAGAAAAAGAGAGTATTGTTGTGACCTGACCTTCTAGATTATTGCTATGTTTGTGCTGTCAGGTATGTTTTCGATAAAAATTTAAAATAAATCGAGATAAAACTTAAAATTATTATTTTATTTATGTTTTTATTAATCAGATTAAACCGAGTTTAGTACACTTTTTCCCTGTTAATTCGTTACAAAAAGCGTAAAAAAAAAAAGCTTTATAAAAAGCAATAATTATAAATAACACTTTCCTCCTGTATTTAGAGAAAACAAATATATGTGTGTGTGTGTGTGTCTGTGTTTAGAGGGGTGTTCGATGCCACACTTGCAGTGGATTAACCGAATCTGTATCTTACTGGCTCGTTATGGAATTCGTGGAAAGCTTTGTGGGGAGGGAAGCGAATCGTGCGAGTTGTACTTGTTTTTTCTCTATCCGGTGGTACTATTCTTGTTCGACCATCAAACGGTTGATCGGTTAATCTCCTATCTGGGGTGGTTTTTATTGTTTTTGTGGTTCTCACGTAAGTTGGTTTCGTCGTTTTCTCTCGAGAAGGCTTCGTAGTTCTGTCGTAAATGGGTCTCGTGGTTCTTTCGTAAGTGGGTTTTGTGGTTCTTTCGTAAGTGGGTCTCGTGGTTCTTTCGTAAGTGGGTCTCGTAGTTCTTTCGTAAGTGGGCTTTGTGGTTCTTTCGTAAGTTGGTTTTGTGGTTCTTTCGTAAGTGGGCCTTGTGGTTCTTTCGTAAGTTTGTGGTTCTTTCGTAAGTGGGCTTTGTGGTTCTTTCGTAAGTGGGTTTCGTCGTTTTCTTCCCTGGTTTTGTTGTTCTCTCGTAAGTCGTTTTAGTCGTTTTTCCACGCGTTGTCCTCTCGTAGGTTGGCTTTGTAGTTTTTTCTTGAAGTCTTGTTGTCCTTTCGTAAGATGGTTTCGTTGTCCTGTCGTAGATTGATCTTGTAGTTCTTTCGTAAGTGGATTTTGTTGTTTTCCCACGTAGTTTCGTTGTTCTTTCTCGTTGTCTCGTTGTTCTTTCGTAGCTCGGTTTTGTTGTTCTCTCATAGGTTGGCTTTGTAGTTTTTCCGCGAATCCTTGTTGTCCTTTCGGGAGTTGGTTTTGTTGTTCTCTCGTATGTCGGTTTTGTAGTTTTACCTCGAAATCTTGTTGTTCTTTCGTAAGTTGGCTTCGTTGTTCTCTCGTGGCTCGGTCTTGTAGTCCTTTCGTAAGTTGGCTTCGTTGTTCTCTCCTGTATCGGTCTTGTAGTCCTTTCGTAAGTTGGCTTCGTTGTTCTCTCACGGTCAGGCTTTGTAGTTCTTACTCGAGTTTTAGTCGTTCTTTCGTAAATGGGTTTTGTTGTCTTGTCATAAGTAGGTTTAGTAGTTTTTCCACGATGCTTTGTTGTCCTTTCGTAAGTTGGTTTTGTCGTTCTTTCACGAGATTTCGTTGTTCTTTCATAGGTCGGTTTTGTAGTTCTTCTACCCTGTGTCGTTCTATCGGTGTAAGATCGAGTCGTGAATCTGACTGGTCGAACAGGTTCGGAATGAAAAGCATGAAAAGCTTCATGAGGAGGAAATCTAATTGGAGGTTTAACAGATTCTTCTCTTCCCACGCTTGGCGATTTTTTTATTAATCGATGATCCGTGCCCGAACTAAATCTTGGTTTATCGACATTAATATGAGTTCCATCTATAAATTTATGATTTCCAGATGCGGAATTTCTTCTCCGAACGAGTCTTGAATCGTATAATTCGATATTTGGACGAGGATTTAGCGTAGAATTTTCAAGAAGAGTAGTTGAAGTAGTAGTATTTATTTTTACGCCGCTATGAGAATCCTCAAAAGGTGTTTTTTTAGATTTAATTTTAATTCGTCTTCTCCCAGAAGAAACTCTAGATCTTTGTCTTTTATTTCCTCTCCTACGATTCGGTTTTTGGGCTGAGATTTCAGAATCGTCTACGCTGTAATTGTTTATGGGAGATTCGGTATATCCGTCTGGAAATTTTGGTTTGTCATTTTCGTCGTAAATTGAAAACGTTTCGGAATTATTATTATTAAAGATATCGGTAAGATTTTCAGCTAAAGATGTTACATTTCGAGCATCTGAAGATTGAGCATTGACTGTTTCGTAGTGGAAATCGTGGAATGCTTTATGAGGAGGTATGCGAACTTTCTTCTTTAAAGGCTTTAATGTGGGCGATCTTCTAAGAGTAGAATCGATTAATCTATGTGAAGACGTGGGTCTTGGTTTTTGTGTTAATTTACGATGATCACCGTCCGGAAAACGTCCCGGTCTTGGAGTTTTTCTACGTGTTTGTGGTCTTTCCGACACGTCGCGATGGTTTCCATCGGGATATCTTGGTTTGGAGGTGTGTTTAGATGTAAAATCACGAGTTTTTACTGTCTGGAAATGAAAATCGTGGAAGGCTTTATGAGGAGGAATGCGAATTGAAGTAGGTTTTATAGTTGAATGGTCAATTTTACCATTTGTTGGTCTATGAGTCACTTTACTATGATCACCGTCAGGATATCGAGAAGGTATTACAGTGACTCTTTGTTTTTCTGTCGTCGCTTTAGTATTCCCTCCAGGTTGTCTCCTAGAAGTTGTTACAGGAGTTGGTGATGTTATTTTAAGTGTTTGATAATGGAAATCGTGAAAGGCTTTATGAGGAGGCAAGCGTCCAGGTTTATTAGTTGTATGACCAGCTCGTTCGCTAGGTGTAGGCCTTCGAGTTACTTTTCTAATATTCCCATCAGGAAATCGGGATGGATTCCTAGGCCTTGAAGTTCTGCGATGCTCGGGATGTGATGTTACGATACTTTGATCACCATCTGGATATCTTGGTTTAGAAGTAACTGAAGGGATGGAAGTAGATATTTGAACATCAGGGGGTTTGACTTTTTCATAATGGAAATCGTGGAATGCTTTATGAGGGGGTAGTCGCAGAGAAGAAGTCGATTTTCTAGTTACAGCATCAGTTGGTCTATGAGTGGATGGTCTTTGAGATACTTTATTTCTATCTCCATCTGGAAATCGAGATGGTATTTTGGATGTTACACGTACTCGTGGTCTTCCCGTTCTGGTACGATTTCTAATAGGTTTTCTCGATTCTTTATCGAGTTTAGGTGTAGATTTGGGTTGCTTAACGCTTACAGTTTCGTGATGAAAATCATGAAAGGCTTTATGAGACGGTAAACGAATGGTGGAAGGCGAAACGGTATTCCGTCTTCTTGAAGAATCTATTGAATCGTTAATTTGTTTAGGTTTTTCAATCGTTCTACCATTATCAGAATCGGAAAAGTGAGAAATTCCGTGTTTTGGAGTTATTTCGTAAGCCTCTGTTGTCACTCGATGATCGTGCCTGGGTCTTGAAGTAATCCTAGAAGTAGTAGGAGTCACACCAGGATGTTTGACGTTTATGGGTTGATAATGGAAATCGTGAAAAGCTTTGTGGGAAGGTAGACGTCCTTTCTGAGGATTTGTATTGGTAATTGTTGGATTTCTTGTAGAACTAGTACGTTCGTGCGATGTAGGCCTTGGCCTTTGATGTCTACGTTGATCATCATCGTGATTTTTTGAAGGTTTTTCCGGCACGCCAGTAATCTTACGAGTTACAGGAGTCGATTTCTTTCTTCCACGTCGATTTCCATTACGAATACGTAAAGGTTTACCAGATTTTCTTATCGGAATTATCCCAGATGTGGTAGGAATTCTACGATTTGGAGGACTCTTACTTACTTCTACAATTTTCGGCTGAATCGGCTCGTAATTAAATTCGTGAAAGGCTTTATGAGGTGGCAATCTGATTGTCTCTCTCTTCTTCCTATTTTCATTCGATGATCGATAAAATAAATCATGATAAAATTCCTTAAATTCAGCAGAATGTTCGGTCTCTGACGATGTTGCTACGTGAACGATATGGCCATTTACACATGAAAATTTAAAGTAGAAGATACTTTGAAAGATGAACAACGATGAAAGATGCAGCAGAAGATGCTGTAAGATACAAAGAATTTTTAGATAAATTATTATACATTCGAAACGTGCCATAAAACTAGAGCGGGGGTCCATCTTATCGGCGCATTTAACACGTTAATTATTTAAATAAATAAAAAAAACGCCCTTAATTCCAATCAAATTTTAAAAAAACCTTCATCGGAACTAAAGTTAAGAGTAGAAATTTAATTAAAAATACGACTCGCAGACCGAGAAAAACATTTAAGTTTCAATTATCGCATCGACAAAATGGTTTTTGCGGCTTCGTTAAGTTCTAAACATTTTTATTTCTTATTTTATCGGATAATTTTGACAAAAACCAGCTGGCCTGTCTCGCCTTTTTTTTTTTATGGCACAGAAAAGGATCTGGTTCGGTTATCAATTATCCAGATGATATCGAAGAAACATCTAACAGAACCTAACATAACTGCTCAAGGAATGAAAAAATTCCTATAAAACTATCCATAGAAAGAGTGAAAGGGGAGGAAAGAATATATATATA